TCGATCTAAATCAATATATTAGAAATTGTAACTTACAACCATGCCTTTAATGAAGTGGTGATAACAGGGCCTCTGAGTTACTTTTTAGAGTGCAGGAGGTACACCGGTTTGTTCGACCCCCAGCTGTATGTTGAAGTGTCCTTGAGCAAGAACCCCAATTTGCACCACCTTTGCATCGGTGAATGAATGTGTAAGAATTTTTCTGTTTGTGATCCATCACTGTGTGAATGGGTGAATGTGGCATGTAGTGTAAAAGAGCTGTGAGTGGTCGGAAGACTAAAAAGGAGCTATACAAGTACAGACTATTTACGTTTAACATAAGCAACAAAATAAAAGTTTAGCCAAGTTTAGTTCAAGACACCAACTAAACTCAACTCAGAAATTCCAACTGTTAAAAGACCAATGGCACTAGAACACATGGCATTTAATTTGACGTTTCTCATTATATTGCTCATGCAGTTAAACCTTCTTTTTAAGAAATTTTAGAAACTTAAGTCTGTTGCCAACCGAACATCATTGGTAGTCTAATCATATTTGTTGGTAATGTTTAACAGAGTGCAAACATTGGAAACATTGTGGAGCAGGAACACACATACAATAAAACATACGTGCATGCTGGGAGGGTTAAAATGCACCTACCTCATGTGACTGCAATCACATTATTAGCATTCACCCAACCATATGAATGCAGATCATTGTTTCAACCCTCTACTCATTTTGCCTTTATTTCAAAATATGATAAAATAACTAAATCCAGGATTAACAAACAGTTTTCCATTTCAGATGCAGAGCACCATGGGTCGGACCAATAGCAGTACTATCTCCCATAGCATTCCAGTGGTCGGGGTGTGCCTTGCTGCTTTGCTCCTCAGCAATGTCTTGATCTACCTGTATCTGGACTCTGTGTATCAGACTGATCAGCAGCCGGTGTCCTCTTATGTAGGCTGTGGGCCTAGACACTTTAAAATGACGACCATGAAAAACTGCACCCCCTGGCTCCAGTGTTCACAGATAAATGCTGAAGTTCACAAGCTGAAGCTGATTGGCCAGGGCGCCGTTAAGAAGGTAAATGGTCTTTTACACTGCATGATGGTTTAATTTATTGAGTGTACTGAATTATAGGTAGTGTATGGAATAAAAAAGAACACCAACAGAAAGCCTCAAGTCATGTTAATTCCTCCTATTTTATGGTGGCAATGTAGGAGGGCAACACAAAAGCGACTGCTTGTGAGAAGTTTTGTCCACATCTACGTCAGGCTGATACCTTCTCATTTGTCACACAGTCAATGGAATTATATTTATAAGGACAAAGGAGCTTCTTAATCTGGTGGCAGAAAACACATATGCAGACCTGATGTATTTTAAGGAATATATTGTTGTTACAAATAACATGGATACAAATGTGATATTGATACAAATTGATTTAAATACATAAAGGTTATAGTTGTGAGCGTATTACTCCAGTCAGTGCTGCCTCTTCCCTGATGGCAGCAGGGTGAACAGGCTGTGGCTGGGGGTGGGTGCTGTCTTTCAGTATCCTATGGGCTCTGCGCAGACACCTCACCTCACCAATATCACTGATGCTGGGAACCACCTTTATTTTTCCAATTTAGTTTTGAAACAGAAAAAACAAAGAACGAACAGTTCTTAACATTTATATTATTAAATTAGTGAATATGTTTTCTCTTTTTTTCAAATTGCAGTGTTGGCAGTCTCATACTACATGTGCTGTAAAATACTAGTAAGCACACATAGCATGGGTTAGTAGTATAATGTGCAGACTTTTATTATATTATATTAATATTATAATATTATATGTGTATGCTGATATATTTATTTCTATTTCTTAATGTATTGTTAGATATTGTAATATGATTATTATTTCAATTTTTTAACGAACACATTTCCCCTGTGTAAAGTATTTCTAATTCTGATTATTCCATACTTGGCACTTCATACATGGCCATTCTAACTGGCTTTTCAAAAGAAATTTCAAACATAATGCAGGAACCAAATGTACAAACAGATTCTAACTGCTATGTACTTGTGATTTAAGAGAACTTCTCACATTCACCAATTTAGAAATCTCTCTTGGATACAAATTTAATCCAAATGTTCTAGAGCTTTTTTTTTATTTTTTTTTATGAAGCCTACAAAAAATTGCCTTTGTGATGTGCCTCATGACTGGCAATTTACTTAGATGTTCAACAATGTTTCTTTTTTTGCTTGTTTGCTTGTTTTGTGGGCATATGAGTTTTGGCAACTTATAAAAATCAGTTTAAAACTCCTGATAGCTGCCTTGTGGTCTTTATTCAGGTCACTGTTTAGAGGCTAATCTTATCAAATTGAAATTAGCAATTTATGACACTTTTCTTTCCTCAGGTCTATCTGGCAGAGTGGAGGAGTCAGAAGGTGGCTCTATCCAAACTAGCCTCTCTGGATTACCTGGATGATTTTCTCCATGGACTGTCCATGTTAGAGGCCCTACAGAGTCCCCTGGTGGTGCAGTTGGTGGGGTTTTGCCTCGAAGACCACACCCTGGTCACGGAACACCACCCACTTGGTTCACTGCTTAACTTGGATGCTGTTCTTGCACAGGAGTGGCACCAACAACACAACACGTGGCAGATCCGACTGAGGTTGGCTACAGATTATGTCGCCATCCTCCATTACCTTCATAACAGCCCAGCTGGGCGGCGGGTTATGTGTGATTCCAACAGCCTGGAGAAAACTCTCTCTCAGTTTCTGCTGACTAGTGACTTTCATCTGGTAGTTAATGATGTGGATGCGCTGCCCGAGGTAGACCCATCCAGAGGTCTGTTTGTGAAATGTGGCCACCGGGAGCTCACAGGGGACTTTGTAGCCCCAGAGCAGCTGTGGCCATTAAGAAACCAAGGGAAGCCATTTTCAGACGATCTCATGCATGAGTATGATGAGAGGACAGATATCTGGAAGATCCCAGACGTGACATGGTTCCTAATGGGAAGGGTACCTGGAGGGGATTTAGTCCACTTCCATCTCTTTCAGATCCATGAGGAGTGTAAGAAGGAAGACCCTAAGCTCCGCCCTTCATCTCTGGATGTTTTGAAGGTATACAAATCAGTCTACAGCAACATGGTGCGAGACAGTGCTGGCTTTAGAGACATGCTGTAGAATACATCTGACTCACAGACATACAATAGAAATTCAAGCTTCAGTTTTATAGTTTTGTGCAGTATAATAAATGCTTCTCTGTTTGGAACCTTGTAGACTTGTCTTTTCTTTTTCTACAGTTTAGTGTTATTTAGTTATATTTACTTTTTTGTGTCAAACATATTTTTAAAGTGAAAGAGGATTAATGCTCTGCTAGTAACTTTAATTCAGACAGTTTGGGACAATCTCTGGATAATCTAAAGTTGCCATGTCGTCCGTCTTTATGTATGTCGATGGTTGTAACCAAACGGCAACCTCCGTGGTTGTCAAATGAAGCCAATGCAGAATTGCAAAACTGCACTTCCTCCGACTTCCTCCATTTTAAAATTTCCAACTTTACAACAGATGTTTACAACCTGGTACAAAAAAACAGTTTGTTCTCCATAGCTAATATCCTCGTTCATAACAACTGTACGAGGGTTGATTTTACATAACTAATCTGTTCTATCAAGTCTTAACATTATGTATAATTAAGGGCATGACCCTTTTGAGTTACAGGTCGGTGCCATCATGTGTATCGTTACTGTTTTTAGGAACCAAGGTTTATTCAGCCAGCCTCAGTTCAGTCCATGCTCAGTGTCATTACCCATATTTGGATTAGCAGGTAGCCAGCGGAGTCAGGACTGATGGAGTGAGATAGTGACGTCCAGAACCGACCACACTGAGTTTCTTTGGAAACCTATAGGTGATGTCACAGATACGACTTCCATTTTTAACTTTACACAGTTCATTAGTTATGAAGATGAGATAAATGTCCGTGGGGGGAATGGATTTTTGGCGTTGTATTTGAACAAACTTCTCCTAGGGAATTTATCAGCTCGACTTCAAATTTGTTCAGTATAATGTAAACACCATCACGATTATAAGTCGTGCTATTTGTGACTGTGCGTCAAATGGCGTGCCTGTGGCGTGGCGCCCAATTTCTACGACCCACCATAAAAAAGGAAGTTGTCATAACTTCAGCGTACATGATCCGATCTCAACGAAACTTCACACGTCTGATAAGAGTCCTGCCCTGAACACATCTACATAACAATATTCAGATGGAGTGATAGCGCCCCCTGCTGGCACAGGAAGTAAGCGGTGCATGGCGATTTTGATCAAATTTATGTGAAATGTTCATGTTGTGGTCCGCCCGTGTTAGGCCAGCACGTGACGTGGCCGCAGCACACCCCAAGTTGTGTGGAGTGTGAGGGCCCATTCATCGCTGCTCGCTGCTTGCAGCTTTAATTAGGGACCGATGCCATGCGGATACTCCGCTGGATGGTCCACTATTGTATTTGCTACAATTCTTCTTACTATTATGTACGGGCCGAGCATGAACGTGCGAAGGCCCTATTGTAATTTGAAGGGAATTCTTTTTCTTTTTCCTCCGTTAGAATACAAACGCAATTTTT